TTAAGACGTGCTAAATAATTTTGTATATGTTGCTCCTTTCCTTCCATTACGCAAAATACGTCATCAACATACCTCTTCCATAACTTTATTGTTGATGGTGCTGACAGAATGGCGGCGTGTTCATAGTATTCCATTCAAATGTTGGCAACAATGGGAGCAACGGGACGTGCCATCGCTACACCATCAATCTGAAGGTAGTATTGGCCATTGTAAGTACAGGAAGTAGCTCGTGTTTAAGCAATGTTCAAGTAATTGAGCAATCTCCATTGGGATGTTATTTTCTTGAAGTTTCACTTTGATAACGTCGATGCACTCCTTTATTGGTACGTTTGTGAAAAGAGACTCAACATCATTCTTGTTGTCTCATTCTTGTTAACTGTGGTACTGTTTAGGATCTTAATGAAATGCCTGGAGTCCTTGACAATGGAGTTCGTTGTGCCTACTAGAGGTGTTAGTGTACGAGACACATATTTTGCCAATTCAAACGCGGGTGAGTCTATCTGACTCACTATTGGTCGTAATGGTACGTTAGTCTTGTGGATCTTTGGCAAACCATAAAGCCTCGGCGGTTGGACGATACGTGGACGTAATAGTTGTTTTTCAATATCAACTGGGATAGCGCTCCTACATTCAGTAATAATGGCATCCGTCTGTCGTTTCACTCTGGCAGTCGAGTTGTATGTTACATGTTTGTATGTCATGCCATCCTCCAGTAAAGCTTTTATTTTACGGTCGTATTCTTCAACGTCCATAATCACAGTGGCGTTTCCCTTGTCTGCCTTCAGTACTATAATTGTTGTATCAGTCCTAAGTTCTTTTACAGCCATCAATTCCTGAGTACTCACGTTTTTGGTGGTAGACGAGCGTGTCGCAAGGCTACAGCCACGTCTTGATGTAAGGTTTCAGCATCACTAGCTGGCACCCTACTACACACAATGGCTTATTCAATACCACATATGACGTTTTCAAATGGAATGCGCGTTGGGGTAGGAGCGAAATTTAATTCTTTTTCCAGGGCGTTAATTGCTGGTTCAGTCAGTAACTTGTTAGACAGGTTTATTATTATCGTTCAGTCAATGTGACCGGCAATGTGCGGGGCGTGGTGCGGTATCTAGGGAGGGGCGGAGAGAATGAACGGACACTCTCTGCTTATTCTTTATTCTCCGGTTACGATCCCAAAACAGCAGCAATCGAGCGTGTGGGTCTTTCGAGATAAGCCGAAACCAACCAAAGTGGCGCGCGTGCAAAATGCCTCTAAGCGGATGATTGCTTCTTTTTTTAATAAAAGTGGACACGTGGCTACAGTTGCTGTGAAGAATCGTTGTACCGTGAATAGTGATAGGTACACGACCATTTGTTTGCCGGAAGTTATTGACAAGCTCCGTAAAAATAACCGTAAACGCCGTATCATCTTGCACCACGATAATGCCAGTTCTCACACGGCCAGACAGACAAATGAATTTTTGAAAGTGAACAACGTTGACCTTATGAGCCATCTCGCGTACAGTCCCGACCTTGTGACTTTTATTTATTTCCAAAAATTAGGAACCAGTTACGCGGCCAACGATTTACATCACCTGAAGTGGCTGTCGAAGAGTATGAAAAATATAGATAGATAGATAGATAGATAGATAGATAGATAGATAGATAGATAGATAGATAGATAGATAGATAGTATGAAAAATATGTTTCAGAGATTGTCACGGAGTGGCATAAATGTTTTCATAATTGGTTCATTCGTATGATAAAGTGCATTAACGCTAACGGAGAATATTTTGAGAAACAATAAATTCATTTCTGACCATTTAGTATTTTTTTCTTATTCATTCCGGAAACTTATAGTGCGCCACACGTACAATAATAACTATTTCGCTTTCATTTTATAGTTATAACGTTTTCAACATGTATCTTGTAAGTGTTTTGATTCTTACTTTAAATTATAATGTTGTTTTCGTTTAAAAACTAGTTTATGAATACCGCCGACGATTTATTACCCGGAATACCTACTTCAGTATTATTTATTATGTTGCGATGGTAAAATGAATGTGTATCTCAAAGCTATGAGGTTTTAAATTATACAAAACCAAAATTATTCATCTATTCGAGTTATGTTGTTTCGTACCTTGTACATATTAGTTATTTATTGTATTTATTTCATTGTTATTGTTCATCTATAAATAATTCCGAAACGTATCAAGAAAATGTTCATGTCAAATATAATAAAGTGCTGATTGTGGTTGGCACGTAAAAAGTGCCAGTGAATGTAATACGATCGTCGCAGATATGAAACACGTGTATGATGTAAATTGTATTGTACTTCTCTATAACAGACGACCTTTACTACATGTATTTGCTGTCAATTATTTGCACAAATGTGTGTTTATTTCCAACATTTATGTTCACTTGGCCACTCTACTCGTACGTTTTTCATAAATCATTTTCATTGTTATGCTATTTGAACACTTACGACTTTTAAAAGTGTACGAAGTAAGTTTTTTAAATATTTACCGTTATGGTGGTAGCATGTTACTTTGATTTCAATCTTTTTAGTGTTCAGTGGTTGAATTTAATTGATTTTCATTTGTTCTTCTGAGGTTCACGTGGTACAGCGAAATATACAAATACATATAATGTGTGTACAAGTGAATTTAGTAAAATGACCAAACGAAAAAGCCTCAAAAAGGTAGAGTCCCATTATGGAGTGCCAACTTACGATGTTTTGCCACAAACTGTTTTATCTCGACGAAAAAGTCAAAAGTTTAAGAGAAGAAGGTATTTATCATTGTGGTTGCTAATTTTATTTACCTAAATTGTAAAATACACAGTGGCTAACTTCCAGTAGTGTGCGATTATTGTTTGCGTCACAGCTTGTCTGCTACTTGATTCTGTATGACGTTGATGGGTGTATTTTCTTGAAATCTTTTCTAATAACATAAAAAATACAATGAATATAAAAACTAAAATTAATTTCTGTTTTTTTCCTGTTTACAGTTTGTTTCCAAAATGCAGTGACTAGTTTCACAGTGCATTTTTCTATAGGTCTGAATTCTATGTTAATATATTATTTATACCGATTGATATTTCATACTTTTATCTTTCAACTTTTTTCTGTCCTTTCATAACCTAGACCTCGCATCTTACCAATTAGGTGAAGTGCTTTCACTTCAATGCCATACCGTTACGAAACATATTTTGCTACCGAATATATTTTGCTTTTGTTGTTTTTCTCATAATTTCTTGCCTTATCTACATTAATTTGTCCCAGGTCTGTAAAGCCACGTGTACGAAAACTTACTAAAATCCCTATATCAATGTATTGATCACGCTAAATAAAACCTGAAAATTCCCAAATGAATATCCTTACGAAATGTGTGTGATTAATCCAAATTCGTATGGAAGCATCCGTCAATGAGGATTTATACAGTTGAAGCTTGTTATCATAAGTATCTTTTACATCAACTGAAATATGATTTTACCTTTTTGTTATCCTATATTTGTGTGTTAATTATTTAGGAATAATCGAGTCACTATTTTATATACTCTACCTACTCGTCCGTTTATTCTTACAAAAATGTAGGACTACATGCGCTGAATTGTTTTTTTTTTCTCCTTCGTTTATCTTTATATAAAATAAATCGATATTGTAGTCCTGTTAGAAAATCTGAAGCGACGAACTGTACAGATTAAAAGCGTTCGCATTGAGATTATGTTGTGGTTTATTTTTATTTAAGTTTAAAATTTCTTAAGTTTAAAGTTTCCAGCGGTACAGCTCCTTGTGAAAGAGTTCGTCCCAGGAAGTACTGCCACCTTACCTATTTCTGCCGCCAAGCAGTAATGTCAGCATTACTGTGTTCCGGTTTTGAAGGGTAAGGGTGCTAGTAAAATTACAGGCACATGGGACTTGACTTGGCAATTTCAAGCTCTGAGTGGCACTGCAACTGTTATGGACGGGACGTCCCGTCACTTGATATTATAAAAAATATGTTCAAAATTATTTGATTAGACGTACGTCGTACGTGTCGCAAAATTAGATGTGCTTGTAGGGTGCCAAACTAAACCTTATATATCATTATTATAGTTTAATGCAGCTCGTGCAGCATTCAATTTATGTAGACCAGATTTACTGCAAGGCAACTTCACACCATGAAGGCGGTGTTTCTGATGGGTTTGTTCCAACTTGACAGTTTGTTGCATACAGCACCCTCGGGACTACGATAAATTGTAGACCTGTTAGGCTCTATCTACTATGGCGCAGAACGGGATGGAAACAAATTTTTGTAACGAAATTGCTGAGAATAATGAACTTTGTCAATTGTGCAATGTAGAAACTAGATACGATACAGTAGCTGCCGGAGTTCCCAATACTGTGGGAGAATTGTCAGAAAGACGCGCGACCCTTTTTTGGCTCGTATCTAGTTTGTACGATACACTAATAACATAAAGTTTATTATACTATGGTTGAAAAAATCACATTTAGCAGCAGTAGAGCTCCTGTGAAAGAGTTCGTCCAAGGAAGTACTACCACCTTACGTATTTCTGCCGCCAAGCATTAACGTGAGCATTACTGCGTTCCGGTTTGACAGGGAATGTAATTGTGAGTGAATGTAATTTCACAAGGTGCTGTGAAATTACATGCACTCGGGACTTGTCAACTTATGTCTCTGTCTGTCTATTGTGACAATTCCCTCAGATCTTCGCGATTTAAAGCTCTGAATTGCATTGCAACCGTTATGGATAAGCGTGTAGCTAACCATCAAGCGTACAACTAGTTCGTCACTTGACATTATAAAAAAAACTTCTAAATTTCATATGGAATAAGAATATGAATTTCAAATTAAATAAGCATAAATACTAATACCCCAAGTAGACGAACGTGCACGAACGTTCGTTCGTTCGTGCTTGTTATGTAGTTGAGATTTGTTATATCTGCCTACACTCTGGCAGACGGAATTGTGATGATAAGTGCGTATGACGAAGCTGATTGTCTATTCTTATTGCAGGTCCACTGGAAACTTTGCGGCGGGCGCGGCGGGTAGCGGGTGCGGGGCACCGCGCTCCGCCCCCGCCACCCCGCTGCAGATCGAGTCTCACTCCCGCGCCAGTAAGCACGATAAGTAAGTACCACATTACATTATTCTTTGCTCTTACAAAGTCACAAATTGATGCACTTCACAATATCAGTGACGTTAGAGACTTCCGATATTAAACTAGCTTTTAGTATGGGCATTATACTAATGCCCTCTGGTTCAATACAGAAATTACCCCAAGTAACATGATTAAGGGAAATAACACGAAAACTACTACTACTACTACTTCCGAGTTTTTTATTTTTTTAACTTAACTAGTAGGGGAACGGAAGTTAAAATGGACCCTGTGGGTAAAACGGACCGCGCCTATAACTATGAATTACTACTAATGTCATCTATTACCGACTTACGCCCTCGTGGTAGTCACCTCTCTCTCATTTATGGTCAGTATCCTTGAAGGGGCCATGTGATAGCACACGTTTTTTTCAATTTTTTGACAATTATGATGTAAAAAAAAAGCAAATTTTTAGTAGCCTTTACTTTTATTTTGCAATGAATATTCGTTTCTAAGAGGTTTTGATTTAATTACTCTTTACTTCACTTTATTTGAACGATATAATAAACAAAGTCTACCTAATAATACGCTAATTAACATCTAAATATTTAACTATTTACATAATCTACTAAAAAGCCAAAATGGAACGGGCAAAACGGACTACGTGGTCCGTTTTGCCGTCAAATGTTTTTGTCGCAATATTATTATCGGATTTACATAATTCGAATTTTTTATTTTATTTTAGATGATTAACAACTATAAAAAAACCTCAAATTGACAAACTTGGCGTAAAGAGGATATGAAAAGTGCAAATGAATAGGTAGCAAATCGTAAAATGACATTAAACCTTAGAGGATGGAAAAAAAATCGGTATACACACGAAAAAGCAAAGAGAAATACTAAAAAAGTTACTAAAAAGAGAAGCATTACTAAGACACTGTACAGCGAAAGAGACGTTCGATGTTTTTATTGTTTACGTCTGTTTTCTGAATCAACTGAATGATCGATTTAGTGCCCAGAGTATTCTTTATGAGCACATTGTAGTTGTGTCCTTGTTGAGGACGACGATGAAGAAGTTAGGTTTGTTTGTGAAAGGTGTTCTTTTGAGTTAGTGCACTAATTGTTTTTTTACATATTGTTATCTGTACATATTACCTTCATGTGTGGTCCGCTTTACCTCAACATGAGGGCAAAATGGACCAATTCTAGGGTTTTGGAAATCGTCTTATATCTGTTTAATCCGTGATTTGATTGAAATATTAGACATAGGCCAGTAAGATGAATAAATGCTCTATAATATAACGTTTAACAAGTTATAATGAAGCCGTTGATTCTTTTTTCATGGTTGAATTTTCCTTAACTGATCTGTTCTACCTTCCGTTCCCTTAGTAAGGCTTTTTACAGCTCCAAATATAAAAAATGGAAATATAATGAATGAACATATTATTTTAATTGTTTTGAATCAAATATTATTTATTGCACATTAAAAATTACAATGACAACACAGAACAGTACATTAGGTACTGTATCACAAAGTGAGCTAATGTGCACAAACTAAATGTACTGTAGCAGCTATTTATTAATACACTCCCGAACACATATTTCGAGCCACCTTGCATTTTTAGTATTAAATGCCCTAAGCTTAAAAAATATGTTTGATTGATCAAAAACTATTAATGCAATTTTGAAGCTGGTTTACTAAACGTCATTTCCGTATGTCCTTGTTGAAAATTAGATTTTGTGAAATCAGCGAAAAACGAGTTTAAGTATCACAAGTCTTGAATTCATACAAAGCCAGCATATGACATTACATGAATATAGAGGCACTGGCGAATGTATCTGTCGGCATTTAATGGTGGCAGCCGCGGCCCTGTCACAACCTCTAGCGCAGTTTTGCCTTCGGTGGACATTCCTCCCCAGACTGTGAAAACTTTTTCTTTAATAAAACAATATTTTTATGTTCTAGGTCTTTCAAAATAAAAATTCAAGGTGGCTCGAAAGTTGTGTCCGGGAGTGCATATTAATTCCACTGCAAATAAGAAAAAATATATTTGTAGAACAATAATAATTTATCGAGTTCTTGAGTTTTCGCGATTGTTACACATGGAAAATGAAGCTATTTTTCCGGCTTTAAATCGCGTATATTTGTTTTTCAAACAAACCAACGTTTCGGGGCCTTTACAGGTCCCATGGTCACGGTTGACTGAGGTGGTAAAGTCAACAACCAGTTATGTCAAACATTAATATTTTTCACTATAATTAAAAAGTTATTAATTAAATACTGTATTTTAAAATTTTCCAAAGAAAATTCCACTTTACGCTACTTATGCTTTACAAATTATTTTATTTTAACAATATGATTTTTTATTTAATTAAATTTATTATTCATTAATAATGGAAATTAGAATAAATTAAAAACATATTAATTAGTACTCCAGTCTTATGTCAGTCTGGGATTTCTCATCAGGAAATACTGGATCCCAAACTGGTGGTACGGAGCATCCTGGGTAGAAAATACATTAATTAGTACTCCAGTCTTCTGTCTGTCTGGGATTTCTCATCAGGAAATATTGGATCCCAAACTGGTGGTACGGAGAATCCTGGGTAGAAAACGGACTTCTTTTGCAAGTGTCGGGGGTTTATCAAACTTAATCGAATGTGTAGGTTTTCTATGGCACACTCGCAGACTGCAGATATTAATAATAATTGAATTAAATGTAATTACTAGAGCATTTGATTTGAGAAGAATCGATAACAGTAAAATAGCAACAAAGGGCCAGTTATGGAGGTGGCACTCTGATGTTCGGATAGACGACTGTTCGGACGGACACCAGAAAATTTATCTTTTTTAATAGGTGTATTTACATGATATACGGTACAGTTTTTTCAAAAAGTACAAGTCACGCTAATATTACTACAATTGAATTAAACAATGTATTATGAAGTAAAAAATAAAGGCAAAATACCTATTGTTACCGTACCATTCTAAGTTTAAACTTCCACACCATTGCAATGGCTCTAATTAATGCAATGTATACATAATATAAAGTATATCTTGGTTTAAAATAAAAATAAAAAGCCACTTAAAATTATAATAATTTGCCTCGTTAATCATTGAAAAGAATATAAAGAAAAATGCTAGTATTCGTATTAAGGGATTTGGCTTCAGAAAAAGCTTCATATCCTCGCAATAAGAGCAAAAGAAGACGTTGTGTGTAGCGAGCTAAATAGTGCTTTTTTGTTCTTGACAAAAATCTTTGACGTTTGTTTATTGACACAGTTTTATATATCAAGTTCTTAGTACTTCGCAATTGTTACACATTGGAAATGAAACTATTTGTTTCGGATCTAAATCGCGTATATTTGTTTTTTTCCATTTTCAAACGAACCAACGTTTCGTTGGTTCTGACCATCCCAGGTAGTCATCATCAGTATAACCAGAAATAGAGACGAAATGTCATTTAATTTGTTTGAAAACTATTCTACCATATCATTATTGTGACAACTGCGGCCCGATTGGCTAGCCCGAGTTCGAGACAATTGACGGGTGTCGTCAACTGTTTCACTTTAAATCGTCCAGTCACTTGAGCTTTGCTATAATGGACGAAAATTGCAAAATTACATATTTAATATTTAATTACCGATGAAATGTGATTCCGTTTGTTTTGTAATTAGATGTTTTGCTGTTTTTCCCATACCACCGAATAGAACAGCATGGCATTGTTAGAGATATTATCTTTATTACAATAATTACAGAATATTTTTTGGAATATACGGAGACGTATACACAGGTCAATAGTTGGCCTGTCTATATTTAGTGCAAACGGGAGTTGATATTTATAAGACCTGTATCGCTAATGTGTTACCAGGAATATATGGCCCTTATTTCGTCTCTATGTCTGATTATATAATCGATGTCATCAGTATTAGACTGGATGATCATCATTACAATGTGTATATTAATGTTTGAAAATATATTTTTTGACTGAATATTTACTTGAATTAGTAATTCAAGTAAATATTTATATATTTGCATGCCAGGCATGATAGAGTTGGATTTGTTTATAATGATAACCTTCGGTATTATTCCGACAAATAAATACATTTTGAAAGATTGATAAAATATCTTGTTATTTATTTAAGTCGTATGATTTTTGTTCTATACGATATTAGTATGATATTACTATATAAAGATTACGTACATGCCAAACACTAGCAATTCAACTTTACACTAAAAATTTAGTTTCAACTCAATGCCACTTATAATAAGAAGAGTCCAAGATTGAAAGTGTAATGCTTTATACTGTACAGACAATTACAGAATTGACGGAACACTAAGTAGTTACATGCAGTCCAATATTTCCTTTCAGGCAGTTAGCAGTTACTGCGGCCAAAAGTGGCCAAAAGTGGCAGGTAGTCTGATATATTTAATGCTTATTGTTAACCCGTCATGAATTTTATATAAATATTTTTTAATTTTCGGAAGAATACATAGTTGAGCGTTAGAAATATACTGTGGTTCTAGGACTCCATTACTAAAATTGTTACAGACACCGTGTGTTTCAAGGATGTGTTACGGGTTAAAGCAAAAGTCACTTAATTGTTTAATTTTCACAAGTTTTTATTAATGCATTATGTTGAGCTTTAAAATCTGAACATGTTTTGAGAACAAAAAGGGACCAGCCTTGGCTGTATCATGTTTACGATAGATCCAAACCGTGGCATACTGAAAGCATTCCTCACATTAGCTTGCGCAGCAAGTGCTATTTTTTTCTCTCAAACAACGTCTTTTCCTCGTCTGAAACTATTTTGCAAACATGAATATGTTTCACTATTCCAATAGTAAAAAACGGTGATCAAATTTAGAAAAGTTAATTTTCCAAATTGATTCTACCGAGAATCGAATCCGGAACCTCCTCATCCAATGCTCACAGTGCAAACCGTTGGGCCACCACCCAATCGTCAGCGTTTTAGAGTATAATAGTAGCGTTAAACAATATTTGTGTTGGCAGCATAAAACTCCGCGACATGA